GCATCAAAGTGCGCGCATTAAATGTGGCTAGTTTGAAAGGACATCAAGGGTGAAGAAGGACTTCAGCTGGTGGAGGAATCGATGAGACTTGGACAGTAGTCGAGGTAGGACATGAGGGAACAGCGGCAGAGTTTCCATCTGGGGCACTAGTGGTTGCACGATCGTCTGAGAATCCCGAGAAAAGGGATGGGTGAAGGAGGCGGATGTGGGATGGGGGGTGGCTGGGAGGACGTGAGTGTATGTACGGTGTACAGTGTTTACCTTCAGTTGCAGAAACAGTAGACTGGATGCGCGAAGAAGTTGAATAGATCATCGTTGTTGGCGTTGTGAGCTGTTGTACTACTCGGTCGACCGGTCCAGAGTAGGCCTTGTTCGAGAGTGCACTCTAGCCTTTGCGAAACCAAGCGCGGNCAAGCGCGGACTGCAAGGCAGCAGCGATATTCCAGATGAGCCGGTGGCCAGTAGTTGGTTCATTCGCATCTTCTGGAAAGCTTTGTCGAGCAATGGATCTTGACAAGGAGCAATGAACATATTTAGTGGCGGACCACACTCGCCACGTCACAGCGCTGTCCACAGATATATGTGGCGTTTTGTACGGAGAACCCTTGCCAGGGGTAAACCCACCACATCCTCGAGCGCTGCCGCTGATCGTCCGCGACCGCTTATTCGGAGGGCCGAGGCCCTTATTCACGGTTAGCCGTGAGATGACGGCCGTTCCCCTATCCGCGACCTGGGGATGCGCTCGGTAGCATACAGCTCTGCTCTCCCTGCTAGCACACCGAATTCAGATAAGCAGGCTTTGCTGGCTAGGGCACGTACTGCGTATGCCCAATCATCGTCTGCCGCACCGCGCTTTATTCGCTGTAGCTAATCCGGGCTGTAGGAAACCACGTGGAGGTCAACAGACAATGTGGAGACAAGGTATGAAGAAATGCACAGAGCCATTGGGTAGAGTAGGTGTCTCTCGCCTTCCAGGCTGGGGTCCAAAAGACTCCACAACTGGTTGGTTGGAGACATTGGATATGGCAGCGAACCGACAGCAGTGGCGTTCTTGTTGCGTTTCTTATCAGGTCAGAATGCTTGTAACTGTGTGTATGCAGAGTTCGATTGCGTACTCTGTGTGTTGACCATAGAGGTTCACCTTATTCTCCCTCCCTCAAAATAGGTCCAATCCACCTTAAATTTTACCACCAACCTTGTATGCCTTGCGAGTTTGGCAGCGATCAGTGAAGTTCGCCTCACTGTATTTCGCTGTATGATGATGACGATGACCATCCGACACTATGACTTTTCCTATGACTATGACTTGCCGTGATGCGCAATCTGTATGCCGAGGTAGTACTTGCCATTATTTTCTTGGTCTGCATGAAGTAGAAATACCGTTCGGTGGCAAACGTGGCCCTGTTTTATCACACACCAGTGTGATGAACAGCAGACGGGGCACTAGGACCTGCTGTTCAGTGATGGTAACCGGTAACCAGATCCCCGGGACTTGGAACGGTGAACCTCACATAAGGCCCCGATAGGTCAGGCGTGGTATAAAACCGGGCGACAGCAAAGATGTATACCAACAAAGTTGGGTGGTGGTGCTCGAACCTCGGACCACAGGGTCCAAAGCGTACCAGTAACAGTGACTAAACCAATGCACCACCACCTCTCAATCTGCAGCCTTTCATTATCCTCCCTTGTCCGCCCACCTCTCACCTAACTCTAAACCAATTGCTACTAGATCCAGAAGACATTCAGCTGAAGATGAACTGTTCATTGGGTCCGAGGTGCAACGTTTTCTAAGTGATGGCATCATCGAACCTCCCTGGAGAGCTCCCGGGCGTTGTTACAAAAAACGCCGGCCACAACAAGCGAATGGTTGTTGATTATAGCCAGACGATCACCGCTTCACTCAACCAGATGCTTACCCGCTACCCCGCATCCATATATTTGTGGAAAACATCTCACGCTATGCTATATCCAGTACTCCTGATTGGGAAAGTGCTTATTATCAGATTCCCATCAAAAACCACGAGAAGCCTAACACCGCATTTGAAGTATGTGGCAATCTCTTTTAGTTCTGCCGAATACCGTTCGGGGTTACAAACAGTGTTGCTTGTTTTTCACGAACCACTGACAAAGTTTTAAAAGCAGAAGGTTTGAAGAATACGTTCGCATACATAGAGAACGTCAGTATATGTGGTTCAACCCCGGATGGCCATGATCGAAATATCGAACGCTCCTTGAAATCTATCGCCAGATATGGCATCACCCTGAATGAATCAAAAACCGTGACCGCTCGGAAAGAAATCTAGCTCATTGGTTACCACATATCACAGGACCTAATCAAAACCAACCAATCCCGAATGAGACCCCTGCGTGAAATCCACCTCCCAAGCACAGCAAGTCTCTACGCCGTGATCGGTCTCTTCGCTTACCACTGACTGTGGATACCACCATTTTTGGACAAAATTAATTCACTGGTACAGAACAACACATATGTATGGCACTGCCACAACATTCGGTTGTCCGTGAAGTGTTGAATATATTCTCCAGAAGTTGAATGGCGCTGTTGTATGGTGCAGAAACTTGCTGATCCTGGAACAAGGTAAAGACAGAATATCGGTGTTCGAAAACTTCTGTCTACACAGCCATGCATGAGCCTGATGAGGAAACCGGATAAGCAATACCAAGGCTAGTCGAAGTTTTAGGTGATCAAAGTCACACGTTAAAGTAAGTTCTTAACCTTCATAGATTAGCATCGCGGTAGTGTGTTACGCATACCACCAGATACCCTTCCGCAGCGTGCGATGTTTGAAGGGACAAGTTAAGCGTGGACGAAGGTCAACAGTGATCGAACTGAAACCTAGTATGAAGGCATGAAAATCATGATCTAGGGCTTCGGATATAAAAGATGAGTTTGACCTCCCATTTTGGAACCTCTAGATGAGATAAATTGATTGGAGAATACTGAGGAGATTCCTTATCCGTCGATTTATTTAATTACTACATTAGTTGTGTTTGTTGCAAAACACAACGGTCGATGTACTATGTTGGTAACTCTGAGTATTCAGAATTAGGGATATTTGATACAATTCTGACACTTCGATTTGGAGCGTGAAGCCGAACATTTTTCCACGGCTCAATTTCAGTTTTCCCAACCATTTTTGTATTGTATTCGTATTTGTCTTTTCATGCATCGGTTTGGGTTGCTGTCTTTTTGTCAGGGCAGAATGAAGAACGGATTGTTGAGAACTGAGTCACAGCGATAAGAGAGAACTCATACAGAATGGGGTTGTAAAAATAATAGATAGATGTACGAGCGCCACTGTTGGCGACATCCAGCCATACCACTATGTCTCTAACCCCCGGTTACTATGATCTCGGACTGCCCATCCAGGGAGTCTACCGGGACCTATGTGATCCAGTGTCCTGGTTAGAGTTTTTATACACTCGTGCCAGGTTTTCGTTTGACCGCCCTTGACCTTTTTCCCTGTCTGCCTCTGCAAGCATCGCATGCCGTTGCAACCTATTTGGTGACGTGTGCAACACATGTACCAACCATCGTAGTCTACGGAGGTTGACCACTTGTTCCAGTGAACGACCATCATTACCTAAAACTCTCCGTCCAACATCGGCATTGCTCGTTCGGTTTACCAACCAGATTCGTGCAATACTGCGTAGATAGTGATATTCAAACAACGACAGTCTATCTTTATCCTGAGATACAGCTGTCCAAATAACAAAACTCGTTCATTTTGTTTATTACTTCGCCAGTTAGAGAGTGGCTGGGTGATGGACCAATCCAGTCTTGTAGCAACATACTGCACTTTGAAGGTAGGAAATGCACACCGAACATGGCTACATTAGCACTTGAGATATGCGGAAAGGCTTGCAAATTACTTGAACCTTCACTTAGCAGCACAATTTCGTGTGCATATTCCAGATCAGTCTGCCACCTGGGAGTAGATCGATACCACGAGGATAATGAAATCTATGACGAAGTTGAATAGAAACGGAAGGAGAGGGCAACCGTAACGAACCCCACTTCCGTGGTGAATTCGGATGGAAAAGTGCCGCAAACTCGGATGCGGCTTCGGCTGTTGGTATAAAGCGATCGCAAAATTGAAATTAACTTCTCGGGAACACCCTTCAGAGCAAGGCAGCGCCAGAGTTTAGATCGANTTAGATCGATCGACTAAGTCGAAAGCCGCATACAGATCGAGGAAGGTGGAAACGGTGGGGCTATGAAAGGAATGTGTTCTAGAATATGTCAAAGGGTAAAGATGCGGTTTATACAACCCCGACCAGGCCGTAAATCAGCCGGGTTCTGATGCGTGCAACGTTCACGAGTGACAGGCCATCGACGGAGTGTAAAACCATTATGGTCGAACAGGAGGACCATCGTCTCGATTCATATATCACACAGCGCACCCTACACAGAAAATAAGTTGACGCTATACTGTGTAGTAGTCGCAAATGTGGACGATAATCAGTTGCTCGAGGATTTTAACTATATATATATATATATATATATATATATATATATATATATATATATAT